CACAATGAAAAGACGGCCATTTGTAAACCAGGAAGAGGACTTTCACCAAGAACAAAACCCTGATTTTGAACTTCTAGCTTCCAGAACTGTGAGAAATAATGTTTGTTGTATAAGCCACCCAGGATATGGTATTCTGTCATAGCAGCCCAAATAGACTAAGACAGAAATTGGTATTGAGAGTGGGGTGCTGCTATGACAAATACCGATAAATGTGCAAGTGGCTTTGGAACTGGGTAATGGGTAAAGTCTGGAAGGGTTTAGAGGTCCATGCTAAAAAAGAAAGCCTAGATTGCCGTGAAGGAATTTTTAAAGGTGATTCTGGTGAGTGGTCAGGAAAAAAGAGGAAGACTGGAGAGAAAGACCCTCCTCTTCTTAAAGAATACATAAACAATCATGCATAGAATGTTGAAAGGAATATGGATGATAAGGGTCATTCTGATGAGGTCTCAAATGGAAAAGAGGAACATATTATTTGAAACTATAGAAAAGACGATCCTTGTTATACATTGGCAAAGAACTTGGCTGAATTGTATTCATGTCCTAGTGTTTTGTGGAAGGTAGAACAATTGAGGCAGAGGGAGGTTAAGTCACTTGCTCCCAGTTATGGAGCCGGTAATGTTGGCACCAGGATGGACCCGGAGCTGGAGCTATAACTGCTGTATCCCTTTCCCTCCCGAAGGGCCAACAGTGTGGAACGGACAGTACAGGGTGAGGAGGTCGGGGTTAAATGGTGCTTCAGGACAGAAGAAATGATTTATCAGCGTGACGCACGAAGAAATGTGGCCTTAATTAGGTTTTCCTTGGACTGACTCACCTTAAGCAATAATCTTGTTTTGAAGCTTTTCCATTGTAGGAAGGTGGAAGAGCTGTGATAGTTAGATATTGTTCATATTCCAAAGGCCTAAAAGGATTAAAATGAGACTATGTATGTGGAAGTGCTTTGCAATCTGCAGAGTGGGATATGGATATCATACTCCTTCCCCAGCTCAGGGCACCCTGTCTGACATGGAGACACTCAGTAACTATTTGTGAATGAATAATCTTATGATTCAGGAAGAAATAAAGTATATATACACATACACAGCATGTACATGTGTATTTCCCCACTAGATTGTGAGCTCCATGAGTGCAATGTCTGTGCCATTTCTGTGTCCCCAGTGCCCTACAGAATGACCTAAAATAGTCAGTACTCAATGAATATTTGTGATTAATAACTAGTATGGTGCCTCTCATTTTAGTTGGGGTCTTTATGGGACAGACTTTTTCTCTTTGGGGCCAGATGGAGGGATTGATAGGAATCACTGACTTATTACCAGAGAGCCCTGTTTGTAAATTCTACATGGTGGGAGGCAAGGGTTTGAGGGTTAAGTGCTGAAAAGTGGCAGCAGGGAAGGTGACACCCCCAGTGGCTCAGCTGCAGCTCCTGTAACCTGCAGGCCCTAAAAGGATTGGGGTTTGCATTGAAGTGGGGGAACAGGACCCAGCATAGGGACAGTGTTCACCCAGTGACCAGGGGATGCATAAACAGTCTTGTCCATCATGTAAAGAAGCAAACATGTTAGACTGGTCTGGCCAGTGAGTTGTGGGGCTTGGTGTGAACAATGTGTCCGGTGAATAATATGGTCACAATGGCATGGTGGTCACTGTGACCAGTGGAGTTGTTGATGGACAGGGAGCAGGGGAGGATCCCAGGGCTGAGGCACTGTGACCAGGAAGTCCAGCTTTGACAACAGACGCAAAGAGTAATATACAAAACGAATGGAGTGTTCAACGTGCAGCACAGTCACCCAGCCCAGAGGAAGGTGACCTGATCTGGCCTGTGGTTATGCCAAGTGCAAGGGAAAGAAAAGTGGAGGGAAAATGACAGTGAATGCAGCAGCCAAAGGCAGAAATATTGGAAAAGCTCTACTAACCTAAGTTTGCATCTGGGTCAGTAAAGCTCTTATCATTGAGTAAATGTAAAGAGAGGCTACAAGTCCACACTGCGCACATATGAGGAGGACCGTGGCAGAAAGGATCAGACAGTCAATGGTGTGGTTGAGACACTGGCCCACTCTGACCATCTCCCTGGTAACGGAGTCTTGATGGTCAGAAAGAGGGTGACATAGGTATACAATGGGAATGTTTGTATTGAGCATTTTACCAAATCTATATGTAATTTACTCTAGTGCAATTTCTTGCTCTCAAACAATTTGTTGATCTAAAGTTTCAGTTAAAAAAATTGTGGACATTGTCTGACAAAGAAATAACTGAGCCCTGGTGGACCCTGCTGGTTATTATTCATCCGTGTTACCAAGGCCAGTCGTATGATGATAGCTGTGAAAGGAATTGCTTTATAAATGGCATTCTAACCAGGGACCCATGTTTATTTCCAAATAGGACAAGGAGAGACAACTGGTGTGTACAAAGGTTTCGTGCCAACTGGACCTACTGGACCTTTCAGTAAGGCTTGAGGGGCATCATGCACATGTGTTCATTGAGCAGGAGCCCCAGAGAGCAGAATTAAAATTAGGTGGTGCCAGAATTGGCTAAGCATTGTTACTAAGACCTAGATATTAAAGAAGTTACAAAGGCTGAATTAAAAGAATAGGATAATTTATCAGTCATTAGGGAAGGTGGGGTCCATGTTACCCCAACTTTTTGATCCTACTTCATTTAATTAGGGTTTTAGCACTCCCAGCTATTCCAAAACTATTGATTTTTTTAAAAACTTGAGCGTCAAAAACAGACAAAAGACTATATATGATATCACTCTAATGATTTATCTTAAGAATCTGTGAACTGTGGAATCGTGATTGTTAGGACTGAGAGACACCTGCTCACCTTTCTGAAATAAGGAGCTGAAAAGATATTCTGAGATTTAGAAAGGGTAAGGTATACAATGTTGACCTTTTGGAGACAGGAAACCTTTGATGAACTATAGGACACCAAGACAGTTCATTTAAAAGATGGTTTCAAAGCATTATCTGGGGCTGGTTTTCTATGTGCTTTACTGAAGCTCTTGGGTTGTCTTTTTACATAAACCCGGCGAAATAATGGTTTCCGCAGTTGTTCATATGTCTGCAACCCTCATGTGGCACCTTGGCTTCTAAGCTTTGTAACTGCTTTTCAGTCTCTTTTGTGGACAAAATTAAACTTTTCTTACCATTTGACAGCATGGAATTTTCCTGCAATGGGTTGTTAAGGAGAAAAGAGACAAGAAGAGGTCACCAATACCATCTCCATGTAATTAAGGCAGTGCAAAGAGCTAAATAAAATTGTTGCTAATGACATTTACTCGATTCCACAATATGAGTCCTTGCTCTGGTCTTGGAATAAGTTAAGGATCAGCTGCGCATAAAATGTACAGATTGTAAACCTTTGTTGCAGGTAACAGGGTATGCATTTTTTAGAAGGGCAGCTTTACTTTAGGGCTGTGTTTAGGCTTGCTTGTTCTCTTTTTCTCTCTGCCTCTTTCTGTCTCCCTCTGTCTGTCTCTGTCTGTATATATTTCAAATATATACACACAATAGTCCCCCCTTATCTATAGTTTCACTTTCTGTGTTTTCAATTACCTGTAGTCAACTGTAGTCCAAAAATATTAAATGGAAAATTTCAGTAATAAACAATTTGTAAGTTTTAAATTGCATGTCATTGTGAGTAGCCTGATGAAATCTCATGCCCTCCCACTCCGTCCTGCCCAGGATGTGAATTATCACTTTGTCGAGTGTATCCATGCCACACTACCCACCCCTTAGTCACGTATTAGTTGTCTTGGTTACCAGTTTGAAAAAGCACAGAAAATATAGGGTTCAGTGCTATCCATGGTTTCAGGCATCTGCTGGGGATCTTGGGATGCATCCCTCATGGATAAGGGGGAACTACTGTATATACTAACATTTATGTATATGTATTTGTATGAAAGTGTATGTACATGTGCGCATGTATCATACATGTATGTGTATGCTTTTGTAAGGCACAGAATAATTAATAAGGAATAGGTTAAAACAGAGAAAATAGGGCTCAACATTGATTTATAGACTGAGATTGACCATCTACGAAGGTACAGCATGTAATCAAGGAACCAATTTATCCTCTTTTATCTCTTAAAAGACCCTAAAAATCAAAATTAATCTATGAATTATTTTTTTTGGTACCGGTTGTGGAATTACTGAAACTGTCTTGATATATATGAGAGAGTTAATGCTTCAAAAATGCTGAGCTTAAACTTAGAAACTTAGATCAGTAAAAATAAGTCCCAAACAAAATTGTGTTTTTATTTACTGGACACATTATTATTTAGGTACACAACAGATGACATCAGTAAGGATGCACTATATTGGCCTTCCAATCTAGCAGAAAAGACTAAGAAATAAACAATTACATATTGTGTGATGTGAAGTGTAAGTCAGGATCTTATGGGAGTAGGGTGGAAAGCAACACAACACACCCAGTACACATCAGGAAGTATGTTTCCTGGGAGAAGAGATGCTCGTGCACCACGGGTGCTATCCACTGGCTGACAGGTGAGCAAAGGGCCTTCACAGTAGAGTAATGACTGTGTCGTATTCTGGACAAGAGAGAGTGCAGGTAAGTTTCAGTTGCCAGAGTTTGGGGTGTGTAATGAGAGTCTGAAGAGTCCATTGAAGGAGCCATTGCTTTTCCATTAGGCCTCCTTTGCGAAGCCTTTTCTGACAACTGGAGCTGGCAGTTACGTTCTCTGTGTTCCCAGGACTTTTTGCATATTTCTATTACTGGACTTTTTCCACGAAGTTTAATTGTTCATGTCTGATTTCCATACTTGTCTGTAGGATAACCAATGTCAGAACTGTCTCCGGTTTTTACCATAAGACATAGAAAATAGTCAGTGCTCAATACGTGTTAATTAAACACATTCCTGAATGACTGGCTGGCTGGATGAGTGAATGGTTATGCACAGGTTGGGGATGAGAAAGTTAAGAATTTCCTTGGTTATCAAGCAGCCCTCATAAAATCTTCATGGTTCTATTTTTCTATTTCAGATTACTTGCAGCATATGATAGCCTTACGGATAAACACCTGGCTGGATATTTTAACAATACAAGGATAAGGCGACATCTCTTGAGATCAGGGCTGGTAAGATTTGGTTTACTTTCTACGCACTTTCTTGTTTCGTTAAATCCAGTAATTTCATACCTTTACAGGTTTCCTCTTTGAACTAATCAGTGACATCTTTTTCCTCCTCATTTTAGAAAAATCCCTTCCTTTCTAAAGTTCTGATTTATCTATCTGAGGCTGTTTTAAAAGTTGGGAAGACAGGTCTCACTGACTGCTAACGAAACTTGTAAGTGACTGAGGAAAAGGCCCTCTGAGTTTCCAACAGCATGTTTCATTTATTTGTTTATTCATTCATTCAACACATATTTATTGGACACATTCTGTGAGTGAGAAACTGTTAGGGATTAAAGATCAAGAAGACTATAGTCTTCAGAAAAAATATTATTTTTAATGTTCACAGAATATGGTGTGGAAGACATGAACCGTTCAACATTTCCCCTTGAATGTTTAAAAGTTTTTATTTCCTGTGATGGTTTATTGATAGAGCTTCAAAACCATTTTTTTCACGAAATTTCCATTCCCCTAAATGTATATAATGTGAAAACCTTTTAAAAATATTATAGTTTTCCATTGAAAGAAAGGGGTGTGGTTATGGAAAGCAGTTAGCTGTTTAGCTTCTTGAAACACAGTGGGTTTCCTTAACTATTGTTGCCATGGTGTTGAAAGGACATGCATTGAGCTTCTAATTGTTGTTTATGTGCTTGGCACTCTAGCTGATCTCAGAGAGCTTGCTTTTCCACTCCCGAGGCTTTGTTATTAGACAGAACTGGCTGAAACCTGGCTCTGCCATTTATAAGACTTAGAATCTTAAGCAAATCACTCTCTTGCTCTCTTAACTTTTTCAGCCCCAACTTCCTAAATTGTAAAATGAGGATAACGATACCCAACCCTCAAGACAGGGTCTTGCTTTGTCACCCAGGTGGAAGTGCACTGGCATCATCATAGCTCATTGCAACCTCAAACTTCTGGGATCAAGCAATCCTCCTGCCTCAGCCTCCCGCATAACTGGGACTACAGACGTGTGCCACCATGCCCCGCTAATTTTTACATTTTTTGTAGAGACGGGGTCTTGCTATGTTGCTCAGGCTGGTCTCAAGCGATCCTCTCACCTCAGCTTCCCAAAGTTTTGGGATTACAGGTGTGAGCCACTGCGTCCAGCCTTCAGGACTGTTGTGGCAGTTAGAGGTGTGCAATAAATGGGTGTTGATATTATTGTTACTATTAACATCACTGCTTTGGATAGTGGTCTGTGAGCTTCATGTACAAATGGGAAGGACTTTGTATTTACTTACCAGCATCATTAACAAGCACTTATTGAACACTGCATGGAAACTCAAACAAGAAAGATACAGCCCTTTTTCTAGAGTGCTGGTTCAGATATAGGTCCTCAACCAGCGTCACCTGGGAACTTGTTAGAATATACAGATGCGAGAGCCTTACCCCAAACCTACTGAATCAGAAGCTCTGGTGTGGGGCCCATTAGTTTTTCAACAAACCCTCCAGGTGATTCCAATATAAGGTCAAGTTTAAGAACCCCTGCCCTATAGCAGCTTCCAGTCCAGCTGGGGAGATCAGGTGTAGTCCCAGAGAAGAGATAACAATGACACATGTTCACTGCCAAGGAAGTGGCAGTCAGGACGTTATAACGTTTTCCTCTAATTTGCCACGTGACATGATAGTTCATGGATAACACATTCAAAGACTAGCTGGCTTATTTGTAATTCCAAGCACTTTCTATAGCCACACCTCTTTCTTCCATTGGAACAATGTATTTATTTAAAAAATATTATCAATAACCCATCACTTGTAGCATAACTCTAGGTGATCTCAATAGTCCAATATGTTGCAACGGTGTTAAAAAAGTACAGATAGCAAAATTAAGAACAAAATTATTAAGAAATATATAGCTTGCATTAAACCTCAAGAAGAGAACAGAGTTTAAATAAGTGGAAAACAAGAAGATGAACAATTCAGAAGGATAACACCTTTTGCTTATAGGAGATAGAGAAAAATATAACAAATACGCTCGTAAGAAAGATTAAAAGAAAAGAGAAATAAGTAAATAAAAAACAGAAACTGCCACTCCTGGGACTTGTAATGATGCCAATTGAAACCAATATTGAATACCTTCTATCTATAGTATTGCATAATATGTAAAATTCTGAATCACAACAAATTAAATTATATTCTGGGCTGGAGAGTGGAAGAAGAAAAAGCAGTGGGAAAACAAAGTAATGAAACCAATTATTTTTAAAACGAACTGATAAGATATTCTCTGCAGCTCGCATGTTTGCCCTTCAGAGTATTTCCTGTGAGATCATCAGTCCTGTGATCGCTGCTCCTGTCCATTGTTTCAAGGTAGCACCCCACCCTCGTCTCCCCGGAAAGTGTTCAAAAAGAGAAATGAAAAGAACACCTGGGTTCCATCAAGGGAAAATTGTTACTCTAATGAAAACCTTGTTTTAAACGTCAAGTGCACCACCTGCATGTGTTTTCACAATGATGGGTATATAAGACTGCCTTTCTCCTTTTTGCCTTATGAAATATTCATTAAAAAGGAAAGTGTATCAGCCATAGTGGTATACTCCTTTAGGCTTAGAAGATACTGCCACATTCTCCCTCTCCCTCTTCTTTCCTTCTTTTCTCTCTCTCTCTCTCCCCCTCCTCCCTCCCTGCCTCCCTGCCTCCTTTTTTTGGTAACTAACAACGCATTTCTACTTTATATTTCTATGTATGTTTTATTTATTCATGACAGATCACAAGAAGTGGAAGAATACTTTCTGAAAAAGAATACAAACTAAATATCATGAAGCGAGATCACCAGAAATATATCCGGGAGTGCTTAGCCCAGGCTATTTTCCATAAGGTTCTTGATATGGAGGTACAAATATTTACTATTTTCTTTATAATTGATATTTTCTAATATGATAATTAATAATGCTTTTCTACCCAGAAAGCGGAGAAATTTTTTCTGTATTTCATTAAAAAGGAAATGGAACAAAGAAATACTGTATATCTCTCTGGGCAGCCAGCAGCCAGGAGGCTAGTGTAAGCTTTTCTTCATTTCAGTT